TCACTCGTGGTATTTCTTTCTTTTCTAATCCTTTGGTTTTTCTTTGGTGATCCCTTTCTCTCGAGCTGAGAGCACCTCACTCACAAGATTACCTCTGTGCAGCCTTTCTCCTGCCCCTGCTAAGGTAACTCAGCAGTCCCAGGCCCAGCCCTCCAGTGTGCCAGCCTCCCCTCTGCCTCCCCTCTGCCTCGGCTCGCTACAGGCTGTGGCTGACAGGATGCGTGGCTTTGGCTGGCCTCGTCTCGGATGATCTGAGAGCCCGGCTGGCTGGGCCGCTCCTCACCGTAGCGGGGGCCTCTCTCCCTGCAGCTAGCTGCCCTGTGTGCACTGTTTTTGCTCAGCATTTCTTCTCTTGGGAGGATGGAAAAGGCCTTGTTTATTTATTTTTTTTCTTTCTGGCTCCAATTTCCTGGAGCATGGGCTGTCTCCCCCCGCCCCCCAAGGAAATATTAGGGTCCCACCCTGGAGGATGGAATGGCTTGAGCTATAGGAATCTGAACGCACAGAGGCTTTTTCCTCTCCAGGGGGCTCTGTGTCTCGTCTAGATCCAGCAAATCCCCAGCTCATCCCCATAACCAGCTTCCAGTGCTGCTCTAACCCCAGCCGCAGGCACTGCCAGCTGGGAGTTACGTACGACTTATGTTTGCCCGCAGGTGAAATCCTTCGGGGTTCTGCTGTGCACGCCAGCCCTGTGACCCTCGCCTTCCAGGACCTGTGAACCCTTGCCTTCCAGGAGCCAGCTGGGAAGCGAAGCCAGCCAGCTGGCCTGCACATGGCTGCCAGAGCTGGAAGCCGGGGCCCACGCCCATCCCGGGCAGCTCCCCATGTGCTGAAGGGGTGACCCCACTGTCTCCAAAGTGTGGGAGAGGCAGAGCCCAGGCCACAGCCAGCAAGGCGTGAGGACTTCATGGCAGTGACAGAATACCATCAGCCACGGTCTGCATACCCAGGACTAAGCAGGGCCCGCGCAGATGGCGCCGAGGACATTGCAGTGCTGCTCTTGAGAGTGCAGGCCCCACGCCGCGAGCTGTACACGCTCCACACGCTCAGGGGAAATAGGGCCCTGCCTGCTACAGAAGGGCACAAGGCCCTGACAGGGGAGGCCCCAGGGCAGCAATAGAGGCACACTGCCGGGCCTACAGATCTGCCCCGACCGTGGCAGCACCACGGGGCCTCCATGGCCATGCGTGGACCCTGGGGATTTCCGTGCTGCCCTCTCATGTTTAGTCGAGCACCTTCTGTTTTCTTCATACAACCTCCAAATAGGCAACCCCAGTTTGGCATCCTAACTTCCCATGCAGAAATGAGGGCTGGTGCCACACCAAGCTTTTCGAATGTCTGGCACACAGCAGACAAACAGCAGATGTTTAGCAGACTGGGCGCCCAGGGAAGGAGGCCGGCCAGGCCAGTGCCGCCTCGCTGGTGCTTAGCGTGTGTGGGCATGTGTGTATAAATGTATGATAGACATTGCTAGATGTGGCTGCAGCCTTGAAATTGAAGCCAACACGCAGACCCACAAGTGAGAGGAAATAAAATTCCTTTTAGTGGCTATTAAAATGCGTATAAAGAAATCGTTGTTCTGTCTGTGCTTTGTTTTCCATCTCAACACCAGTCTCTAGAACCAGTGTGCAAGAATAGTGAAGAGAAATTGTCACTAAAAACCTTGAGCAGGGTGCAGTGGATGACATCTCTAATCTTAGCTACTCAGGAGGCTGAGATCTGAGGATCACGGTTCAATGCCAGTCCTGGCTGCAAAATCCATGAGACTTTTATCACTGATTAGCCAACAAAACTCCAGAAGTGGTGTTGTGACTCATATAGCAGAGTACCAGCCTTGAATGAAAATGCCACCAAGTGTGTGAGTTCAAACCCCAATATGGGCACAAAACAAAAAATAAAAGAAACCTCGAGTCTGAGTTTAAAAGATTACAAAGATGCTTTGCCACTCCTTTGCCCCAGTCCAGAAACATGGAGTGTTTCCTAAACCTGCAGGTCTTGGGATGGGCTGTGAGGTGGCAGGCACCAGCTCCTGGGAAGTGATTGCAAGAGGCTTTGTCAGCCTGGGCACCTTTTACATAAGCTACATAAGCCTCCCCATAGGTCGCTGCAAACCACAGTATAAAACACATTGCTGTAGATCACTGAATCAAAACAAAAAGATCTGTCAGGTACATAACCACTGAAATAAAAATCTCAAACTATTCTGTGAAAAACATTCTTAGCTACGTCTTCAACCTTTTCCATTAACCTCACACTCAGATCCTCTACCTCCACTCCTTTTCTGTCCAGGCTGGCTTCAAACCTTGATCCTCCAGATCAAATAGCTAGTATAGGCATGAGCCCCTGGCAGCTTGCCTATAATCAATTTTTACACATAATAATATATACTATCTAGGAGGGGGTCCAGCAGTGGTCCTCAATCCTGAATGTACACACAAATCATATGGGTACACACGCACGCACGCACGCGTGTGCGTGCACACACACACACAATGTGAACACATCATGGATATTTCCAGTGTCCTGGCTGGAGGCAGCATGCTGGGCGGGCATGGTTTGTGAGATCTCCTCAGTGGTGATGCAGGGAGGAATGGCAATCAATCCTTGCTCTAAGGTGGCGGCTGGCCCGGCCCAGGAGACAGACAGCCTGGGTGAGTTTGGATTCCTGTAGCTGGTGATGGGAAATCAGGAGAACTGACAGAGCAAAGGTCCTTGCTTATCATCCCTGCAGTTATGACTCCTCCCTTTATCCAAAGGCGTCTCTCTGGCTATCTTCACAAATTAGGTGGTTTTGTTGTTGTTGTCGTTGTTTTGGTGCCGCAACTGGGGCTTGAGCTCAGGGCTGGCTGCTTACTCATGGTTGGCACTCTACCACCCGAGCCATACCTCCACTATGAGCTTTTTGGTGGTTAATTAGAGCTATGTGTCTAATAGGCTGGCTACCCAAGCTGACTTCAAACTGTGATCCTGGGGTCTCAGTCTCCTGGTCTGCTAGGATTGGAGGTGTGAGCAGCTAGTGCCCATCTAACAATTCTTTGGGGTCTAAGATTTTCAAGGCAGAAAGATCTCAGCAATATAATCAACAAGGCAAATGTTATTGCTGTGTAATACTTTTATTAACGTATGGACACACCACATTCCTGTTTTATTATACAATTTGCAGGCATGTCAGAGGCCAGTGACAAATGACATTTGGAGAGAAAGCTTAGAATCCGTGCCTGACTGCACACTCTTTCAGGAAGTGCTGACCGAACAGAGGCGCTGAACTTCAGCATTAAAGGTCACAAAAGCACCACTTAAAAGCGGATTTTCACACAGAGTTTAATTCCTTCTAGTGATGCTCTTCTCCTCCCCGGAGGACAAACCCAGAGCTAAAAAACCTCCTCCGACTTACCAGTGGGAAGAGAGTTGGCTGCGTCAACAGTGCCCCTGCTGTCTTAATTCACAGTGGGGTCAGAAAGGAGACCAGTACTAACACAATGCGCGCTGCCCGCCTGACCAGACACCACAAAATCCACAGTGCTACTGCGCACACTGAGGAACACACAAATAACTCACGTCAACTCCAAATAATACTGGAACTCGTTTCCTTTTTTTTTTTTTTTTTTGGTGGGTTGTAGGGCTTGAACTCAGGGCCTGGGTGCTGTCCCTAAGCAATTTTGCTCAAGGCTAGTGCTCTATCACTTTGAGCCATAGCAATGCTGCTGGTTTTTTGAGTGGTTAATTGGAGATAAGAGTCTCACAGGGACTTTCATCCAGGCTTCTAACTGTGATCCTCAGATCTCAGCCTCCTAAGTAGCAAGGATTACAGGATTGAGCCACCAGTGCCCATCTTAATTTTTTTTTTTTTTTGCTTTTTAATGAAGTTTATTGACTTCAAAGCACTAGTGAGAAAAATAAACAACCCCCCCCCCCCCCCCGCCGCCCAAAGTATTGTCTTACAGGGACTCCATTGCTCATAAATGGCTCCTCAAGACATGAGTTCTATTTTTTTATAATTAAAAATAATAATAAAAAACAAAAATCTTGGCTTTTCTCTCCAAAAGTTCATTAGGCGCAGTGTGGAAATGACAGTTGTTCATTCTCCTCCAGCTGTGACGCTGGCACTTGGGAGACAATAGTGAGAACCATCAAGACGTCAAGGTCTCCTGCTCATGGCGGATAAGCCATGGACAGCAAGAACTTGGCTTTGAGACAAGGAAGAAGGCTGTGGGGACACATCAATCTCTGCTTCCAGGCCCGCGCCCCAAGTCACCACAATGTGAGGCTACAAGTCTCTGAGAACAGACTGCATTTCTCACACACTCATGCACGCATGCACACACACACACACACACACACACACACACACACACACACAATTGCATATAATTTTTAGATGAGGTCAAAAATTTCAAAGCCCTATTTCCCCAGTTACCAGGAGGGAACTCCATCAGCATGCCTGCTCCTTTCTCTCTCAGGTTAACCTACACCTGTTGTGGAGTTCATCACAACACTTGCTTTCCCTGCATGCACACAATACAGGTAGGTTCCAAAGTTTTTAAACATCTCAGACCCAGCAGATCTACAAGACTAAAACTAGTTAGAAGAATGCGGTGGGCCTGGGTGGCGGATCTACCCGGACTTCTTCGCCACTCCTCTTCTCTTCTTGCTCTCTACCATGGAAGCCTGTCTCCCTTAGGTGAAGCATGCCTGGCCCAAAGGGCTGGCCTCCAGCCGCACCCAGGCCGACCTCTCACACCAGGAGACTTAGAGGATCTGATACTTGGTCTGGGATTCTGGTGAAGTCTGACCCAGTCACAGCATAGACAAAAAGGGCAGAGGGCAGGCAGAGGAGGTAAGCTCTTACAGTAAGCATGCATATCACCAGGTATGGGTGATTTTACTTCTTAAGAAGAGGATGAGCTGGGTGCCAGTGGCTCACACCTGAATCCCCTACTCAGGAGGCTGAGATCTGAGGTTCACAGTTCAAAGCCAGCCAAGGAAAGAGTCTTTGCCATTCTTTTATCACCAAAAAGCCAGAAGAGGAGGTGCAGAATACTAGCCTTGATCTAAAAAGCTAACGGAGAGTGTGTGGGCCCTGAGTTAAGCCCTAATACATGGTATAAATAAAAAAGAAAAAGAAAAAAAAAAGGATGTTTTCAGTTTGGAGTTACTTGGGCCTCCATTTTTCCTATCACTACTTCTCAAACTTCTGGTTAAGGCGAGGTGTACTTTCTTAATATCACTCTTCAGCTCAGCTGCTCTTCTTTCTCCATAACCTCAATCCCTATCTGTCCATATTGTAGCCTACCCTCCTTAAGGGTTATGGTTTTATTTAACAGTACAATTCCATATGTTAAAAAAGAAAAAGAAAAACTACACTTTTTTTTTCCTTTATTCATTTCTTAAAACTCTCTTGTTCAGAAAATACACAATCCCGTAAACTAACTAGAACAAAACATAGGTCAGTTTGGGTTACCCTCTTTCCACTACTTTCCTAGTGACAGACCGGGGCTTCTCAGGGCCACCCCTAGCAGGACAGAGAGGGATGGGGCAGGATGGGCTACTAGCCAGTTCCTCTCCCCCGGTGGCTCCCCCTCCTCACCAGCTGGGAGGCTCCCACTTCACATCTGGCTGAGATCACTTCAGAACCTGGAAAGCTGACCTCTCTGCACATTTCCAGATTAGGAAGATCTGAGGATAGTCAAAGCCAGACTCAACTAGAAAATTAAAAATTAGCCATCCCTGGATTAGAAGATCACCAGAGCTAGACCCAGTTCACAGAATCTGAGAAGCCTGAGCCTCAACTCCTTTTCTGCCCATACACTGTTGTGGAGTGAACGCTGTAACACACACGCATGCGTGCAAACACACACACACACACACACAATGTTTCAATACTGTTAACAAGCAATCTGAGAACAGCAAAATCTTCACATAGCAACAAAGGTGTTAAATCCGCCTAGGAGGCCCAATCACCTCATAGGCACCAAGTAACAAACGTCTAGTACAACCGAGCACACCAGTCCTGAGTGGTCAAGACAGACCCTGGCCTGGAGTTGGAAAATGGCATGCCCTTTGAGAAGAGGGCGTGGAAGACTCCACAGACAGGGCCTGGATGGCGAGAGCAGCCTTCCCTCCACCAATGAACCCCACTTACAGTACACTGTGTTCCTGCCAAACCACCCACACACGTCAGCCTCATGCCCCAGATCAAAAGAACCCAAAGAGGACCGGCTTTCCGCATGAGCTCGGGCAAGGCCCCCATCAGTGCAGCGGGTCCTAGGAATCAAAGGGTCACTCAGCCATCAAGTGTTTGGCCTCCTTCCATGTGAATGTCTGACTGCACTCATCTGTAACATGGAAGCACTAGACACCTGGGGAAATGTTCTCTCTACACCCCAAGGCAGACTAAATACTTCTCAATCCATAAACAGAACTCAGTGCCACTACTTGACCACCAAACATGTTTAAAAAGAAGAGGCAGAGGGGAAAAAAAGTAAATGATCTAATTAACAGTGCAAAGAACTATACTCTTCTTGGCTATGAATGTTGGAGACACTTCTTACTGAATCTGGTCTATGTATCAAATGAGTCACAATGAACGGGGATCTAATGCAGGTAAAGAAACACACAGGCATGGCACAAGGCCTGGAGGAGTTCCCCGGCTCCACACCCACCTGCAGAGCCGTCTGCTGGAACCGGATGCAGGCCAGGCCTCGGGGGAAGACCACGGAAAACGTGCCATGTGCCAAGCTGTGGCCTTTATTAGAATGCGGAGCCAGATCTTCCTCAGCAGAGATGAACAGGTGGTGCAGTAAAGGGGCTGGGCTCAGGGGGAGCCCCTGGCAGTCCAGGCATCATAGTGGGACGTCCACACTACTTTTCAAAGAGTCACGTGCCCAGTGGGTTTGGCATTAGAGTGGTGGAGTGTGGGATCTGAAGGCGGCTATTAAAGGAGGGAGGTGAGAGGAAAAGGGGCATCTGATGTCCTGTAAAAGACCACAAGACGGCATGACACACTTTGGGGACGCAGCAGGCCCACGCTAGGGAGGCGCCTGGAGCACCTGCAGCCAGCAGCTGGAGAGGAGACACACTCACCGGCGCAGCGGGAGAGCGCCCCCCAGCAAGGACTTACGAGTTTGCTGTTCGCTTGAGGAAAACAAGCTTCCTGTCTACTTCTCCCTGCAGTCCCCAACCAGGTCTGGGGGGAGAGAGAATACATGGAGCTGGGCCCGGCAGCTTCCACAGCCCTCCTCTCATATGTATATATACATATATGTGGGTTTTTTTTTATCTTAAAATAAATTCCATGAACTCATAAAGCTCTCATCTGCAACCAAATGCAAAAGCAGAGCCTCCTACTGGGAGGCTCTGAACACACATTATCAGCCTCAAAGCAAATCAGCCTTCCAGTCAGAGACAAGACTGGCTCAGTTAAGAGGCAAGGGAGCCGGCTGGCCTGTGGGGAAGGGCAGCGTCTTCAGACGGGCTTGTACAGCAGCGTGGTGACGTACTTCTTCTTGTAGCGGTGGGTTGCGCTAAGGACCATCACGCTGTCCTGTGAGGGAAGAAGACGCAGCTCATTTGGTGCATCCATTCGGGGTGGGCGGCCCTTCCTGGTCCTGAGTCCTTCCAGTTACTTACTGACTTCAACTAAGGGCTGAACTCAGGGCCTTGTACCCTATCACGTGAACCACCACTCCATGGCTGTTACTACTGCGATAGGCTATCTCTTTATGCTGAGCCGGCCTGGATCTCTACCTCCTGTTCATGCTTTCTCCTGTGGCTGGGACGACAGGCACATGCCACTCTGCCCAGCCACTGGTTGGTTTTGAACTGTCATCCTCCAATCTCTTCCTAAGTACTCAGAATTACAGACTTGAACCACTGTTCCTGGGAGCACTGGCTTTTAACAGATATTAGTGTGCTTTTAGAGCCATATCAATGTCAGTTCTAATCCAACTTCCCGTGGTTTACTGTAATTGTGGCCTTGGGTAGCCAGTTTAAAGGTCCCTAAGCCTTTTCTCCTCCTTGTCATATGAAGGTTAACACCTAACATCCTGATGGTGATGAATATCACCCTGGCCTCTGGTTATGATCAAGGGAGGTGGCTCAGACCCACAGCACAGGACATGGGACAAAAAGGTTCCTGCCTTGCTCCCTTCCTTGCTTCCAATTCTAAGACTAGGCTTAAAACTAGCATCCACTTCTAGGAAGAATCCTTACATACAGGGTGAAGAACGGGAAATGATCCAAGCCCTGATGCAGGTCCACTTTCCATTTAGTACCAGAGATGAACTCAAAGTCTGCTCTGCCCTGGAGGGAGTGGAACCAACACCAATCTGGTGGATCAGGCACTCTCTGGACAACAGTGATCAAGACCTTACATTCAGGTCAAACCATCCAGGAGGAGCACAAGGTACCGCTTTGTAGGCGTTAAAGATTAGGGAGAACCAAGTAGGCCTTGACATGAAGGAGCAGTTACAGGAGGCAAAATTCAGTATTGAGACGCCAAAGAATGGAAGCAAATCAAATCGAATACAGAAACCAGCGTATCTTCTGGCCTTCCTTCATTCTGCGTGACCCACAACAAATGGATTGGCAATCAAACTGGAGTAGATGCAGATGACGTAGAGCAAATGTGGGGCAAGTAAAAACATAGACATGGGCAGTGAGACAAAGACTTGCACCAGGATGCATGGGAGAGAATATGGAGTCCTGACAAGAGGACCCGACCACAGTCCTGGCTCTGCTACTTACTGGCAATCTGACCTTCTCTGAGCCTTAGTTTCTTTATCTTTAAAACAGGGGTTAAAAATAATACCGCACGAAGTCATTATGAAAATAAAACTCAGTAATGTAGTCTTTAAATTTTATGTATTACCATTAAGGTAATTCTAGTCACCAAAAGAGAAACCAGGGGAAAAAAAGAAGCCATTCAGTCACTGGGTAATTCAGCTTGCCAGACACAGATATAGAAGCTGAGATTTACAAACAAGCCACCTACCCGGTGCCCTGTCCCCTCTCATCTGAGGGGCCACAAGGAAGTAGGTGGTCACTTACCTTAATGGACAGTGCATAGAGATGGTTCAGCATAACGTGGTTGGGCTCCGGAAGTAAGGCAGGGTCACACTGAGAGAGAAAAAAACCATCACCACATGGGATTAAGAGCACAGACACCTGCCCACTAACTCACAAACTTTATTCTTCCTCAGGGTTCTCTGAGGTTGTTAAGAGCTGTAGCCAAGTACTGGTAGCTCATGCCTATAATTCTAGCTACTCAGGAGGCTGAGCTATGAAGATCCTGGTTCAAAGCTAGCCCGGAGAGGCAAATCCAAGACTCTTTTTTTTTTTTTTGGGGGGGGGGGGGTCCAGTCGTGGGGCCTGAACTCTGGGCCTGGGCGCTGTCCCTCAGCTCTTCAGCTCAAGGCTAGCATTCTACCACTTGAGCTGCAGCACCACTTCTGGCTTTTTTTTTCTGTTATGTAGTGCTGAGGAATCAAACCCAGGGCCTCATGCATGCAGGGCAAGCGATCTACCACTGAGCCACCTTCTCAGCCCCAATCCAAGACTCTTTTATCTCCAAATAACTAACAAAAAATTGAGAAGGAGGTGTGGCTCAAGTAGTAGAGTGCCAATCTTGAGCCAAAAAGCTAAGCAAGAGCTCAAAGCCCCAAGTTCAAGTCCCCAAACCAACACAAAAACAAAGAAACAAAACCAATTATTTTATATACTCCCAAACGCTAAGTACTCCTCTCTTTATCTTGTGTTGGAATAGGAGTCCTAAAATTGGTTCTAGCATAGTTTGGTTCAGATTTTATTAGGAACAGAGACAACTATAAATTTTTATATAGAGGCCTTAAAAAAGCCACAATTCAGCCTTGCAAAAAAGAAACCTATAATGCTATTGATATGTTTATGATTTATAATCTCAACATACCTGCGTAATAATCCCAAATTACAGGATTACTGAAATGTGAACCAAATACCCTAGAGATTTCCAAGGTGCTCTAGTAATATTCTGAGGATACTCACAGAAATATTGGTATCCTTGTTAAGAATAACTTGGAGAAGGTGAGGAGGGAGGATGGGCGGGGATTTAAATCTCTCCTCAGATCGAAACACATACATTTCTTGACCATAAGGCCCTGGGGGTGAGCTGGACAGGTCTGAAAGATATTTACAAAAATGTTGAGGCAAGTTGAAGAATTAATAATAATTCATGGAAATAATGACCAATAACACATACTATATAAATATGCATATATATATGTTTATGTATGCATGTATCAGATCAGAAGCTTGTGACCTAGTGGGTTTACAATGTTAAGTAACAAAAGATGAGGGGTCCACAACTTCAGCTCTGACCTGTGTGCTGGTGGCTCATGCCTGTAACCTTAGTGACTCAGGAGGCTAAGGATCACAGTTTGAAACTAGCCTGGGCAGAACAATACAGGAAACTCCGATTTCCAATTAACCTGAAAAAAGTGGAGCTGTGGCTCAAGTGATTGAGCACTAGCCTTAAGCAAAAGAGCTAAGGGACAGTACTCAGGCCCTGAATTCAAGCCACAGTACCGGCACACGTGCGTGTGAGCGCACACACGCGCACACACTCTCACACACACAAACCCCAAAACTTAAAACCCCACAAATTGGTGAAATGATTTTCTCAAAGCCACATACATGACTAGATGTCACATGAATGCAGATTAAAATCCATTATCTGTAGCTCCCCTAATAAAATGGGGTGCTAATGGGTTTTAAGCCAAACACAGAATTTCAATTGCATTCAGAATTATGTTTCGTTTTTTAACTTACTACCAAGGAGTCATTAATGTATAAAACTGATCTCTCCAACTGACAACAGAAATTTCTGGAGACTTAGTAGACAGCCAGGCAGAACTAGCATCTGCTGGGTGACACCACAGACTGGTAATGAGCAAATGCTAACAGAAAACCTGAGACATTACTAAATAGCTTACAAACAACAGGTAATAGGCTATGGGTAGGCTCTGAAAGACAAAACAGAAAGGAGGGCTGGGAAGGTGGCTCAGTGGTAGAGTGCTTGCCTTGCATGCCTGAGGCCCTGGGTTTGATTCCTCAGCACCACATAAGCAAAAAGAAAAAATCTGGAAGTGGCGCTGTGGCTCAAGTGGTTGGGTGCTAGCCTTGAGCTGAAGAGCTGAGGGACAGCGCCCAGGCCCTGAGTTCAGGCCCCACAACTGGACCCAAAACAACAACAACAAAAACAGAAAGGAAAGAGCATTACCTGTAATAAAGGGGAGGGACATACAATAGCTGAGACCTGTGTGATAGTTCTCTCTGCTGTGTGTATAAATACAAGAATCAGAAGTTTCCCTCAAAGAAATGGAAATATAAAACCAAACAAGAACATCTTCTGGGAAAGAAATATGCATTACAAAAGACACAGTAAGAAATCAAATGCCACAAAAGTACCTCGACAAGCCGTCTCAGAGCTTTCCATAGAATCTAGCTTTAAGGCATCAAACACTTCGAAATCAGATTTCTTCACATGTATCAAATTATTAATCGTGCCGAGCTGGCTGGTAATCACAGGCTGAAACAGTGAATAAAAAAATGAATAAATTATGGATTTGAAAATCCATCTCTTCTACCCCATTCTCCCCTGTTTCTACTAAAAGTTAAAAGACAATCAGGAGGGAAAGTAGGAGAAAACGAGGGGGAGGGTAACAATATTTGACAAGAAATGGATTTATTGTTTATGTGACTGTAACCCCTCTGTACATCACCTTTATGATAAAAACAAATAGTAGTCAGCACTCCCATCTTTTATCAAGAGAGGAAATCCTCTAAGCTAGGCACTAGTAGTTCACACCTGTAATGCTACTATTCTCAGGAGGCTGAGGTCCAGAGGATTAAGGTTGGAGGCAGCTCAGACAGAAAAGCTCTATCTCCAATTAACCAGCAAAAAGCCAGACTGAAGATGTGGCTCAAGTGGTAGAGTGCCACTTTGTAGGCAAGGAAGCCTACAAAGCGAAAGACTCGAGTCCAAACCTTGGTACAGGTGAGAGAGACAGACAGACAAGACAGACAAAGGAAGAGAAAGAGAGTTGGGAAGGGGAGATCCTCTAGCACAGGAGAGCTGTTACCCATCCATCTCCACAGCAAGAGCAGCTGAAAGGAGGCTGCTGCATCAGTGGCTCCCAGGAGATCAAGACCTTACCTCTGCTGGATCATGAACCCACTGTCCATCCACAAAGAACTTGTACTGGTGCTCCCCCTCGGGGAGGTCCAGGATGGCAACAAAGTCATTATGGCTACAGGAGAAAGAAGAATGTCAGCAGGCCAGGCTCCTTTTAGAAAACAGACAGAAAACACACATGGTGATCACAGTGCAGTGCCAACCGCCTGCCCCACTCCTAAACCACTGCAGCCCTTGTGTACAAAACAGCATAGAGACCCGGGCTCCTTCTGCATCACCTTCAACATGTATTCGCCAACCTCTCCCCATAACTTGACTTCTTAACCAATATCGGAGACAAATAGCAGACCACGATTCCCCCAGAGAGTCACCTCAGCCCAGCTCTTTTGTTCCAGTAGATTTCTCACAGGTACTAATCAGATGGCAGGTGGAGTCACAAGGAAGGGGATAGCTGCAGTGGCAGAGCTGCCTGGCAAGTGTGAGGCCCTGGGTTCAACTCCCACTACCACAAAATCAACGCATAAATGAACATAGGTACCATAAGCTACTACAGAAGGGTGAGCCTCTTCTGTCCTGTGACCTATTATTTAACAACCAGTTACATAACTCATTATTGCCTTACAAGACATTAAAGACTTCACCATGTGTGAAGTCAGAAGTACAAAAATCAGCGGAGTGCCAGTGAATCACACTTGTGATCCTAGCTGCTCAGAAGGCTGAGATCTGAGGATTCTGGTTTGAAGCCAACCAGAGCAGAAAAGTCTGTGAGATTCTTATCTCCAATTACCCAGTAAAAAGCCAGAAATTGAGGTGCACCTCAAGTGGTAGAATGCCAGTTGTGAGCAGAAAAAAGCTAAGGAACACTGCCCAGGCCCTGAGTTCAGCTGCCAGTACAGGCACGTGCACACAACACACACACAAGCACACACACACAAAATACAGAAATCAGAGCAACAGAGCCCTGCCAGTTCAGACAGCCTCCTCCACACTGCAGAACACACCTGCAAAGAATATCCCCCACTGGACCACTACAAATTCCCCTGAGGCCTGGTGTCTCTTCTAAGGAAGGGAATCAGGTCTCAATGTAGACTCAACCAAGACACTTCTCTTCACCTCTTAATCAGTGGGATCTTGGTGCTCCAATTGTTGAAGGACCCAGAGATGAAGACCTCTTTGCCTCCTTCAGACCAGCGGATAACCGTGGGCCGGGCCTGCTGGCTGGGCTTTACAGAGTCGTCCAAATCCTGCTGCCAGGACACAAACTCCTTGTCTCCAGGGAGCTGTAAGAAGGAGCAGGTCATCCCTAGAATAATAAGTGTGACCCGAGAGTTCTTAAAAGGTCACTTGCTAGGAGTGCTAGGCTACAGTGAAGGGAAGTAAGCCTTAAAAGTTTATTTTGAACTAATTCTCCAGAAAAAGAACTAATGAAGAACCAAGCGGCCCAATGCCTTGTGCTCAAGTACGGCTCACACCACAGCCTGATCTCCACCTGCACACGTCACTCTTCCTGCCACAGCCCAGGCTCACCTGGCTTGATTACCTGCGGCCCCCACCTGTCATCCTAGCTATGCAGGAAGCTGAGATCTGAAGATCAAAGTTTGAAGCCAGCCTGGGCAGACAAGTCTAGGAGACTCCTATATCCAATTAACTAGCAGGAGGCCAGAATGGAGCTGTGGCTCAAGTGGTAGAGCACGAGCCATGAGCAAAAGAGTTAAGAGACAGTGCCCAAGTCTTCAGTTTAAGCCTCAGTAACAGCATTTTAAAAAAAAAAGAAAAGAAAACAAAGATGGTTCTATTAAGTCTAAACTAAAGCAAATATAAACAACTCTCAATTACCAGTTGTAATAAAATTCATAAACTATTTTAGCTCATAGATTACATAAAGGGACATGAAAAATTTTAAACTTATAGGCTGCAGGCATGGTTCAAGTGGTAGAGCACTTGTCTAACATGTGTGAGGTCCTGGGTTCAATCCTCAATGATGCCAGAAGAAAAACATAATAAAATTCTACTATTAAGTTCTAAGGACTGGAGATGAGGCTCAGTGATGTAGTACCTGCCCAACACTGGTGAGGCTCTAGTTGACAGCCAACACCATAATTAACTAAATACAGTGAAAACAACATCATTGATTTAATAAAGTTGGGGAGTTGGTTATAAACTTCCTTGCTCATCTATGCCAAGTTTATACTAATTATTTCAGGGTGCAATTTTGGAGTCTCAAGGAGCAAAAGGTAAAAATCCAACATGCTAGCTAGTGCTGGTGGCTCATGCATATAATCCTAGCTATTGAGGAAGCTGAGATCTGAAGATCTTAGCTCAAAGATAGCCTGGGCAGGAAGTCCAGGAAACTTTTTATCTCAAATTAATCAGCAAAAAGCCAGAAATAGAAGGGTAGATCAAGTGGTAGGGCACCAGCCTTGAGTGAAAAAGCTAAGCAAGAAGAACATAAGGTCCTGAGTTTAAGTTCTAGTACTGGTACATACACATACACACACACACACACACTCTCTCTCTCTCTCTCTCTCTCTCTCTCTCTCTCTCCTTTAACAAAAGCAGTGCCATTACCAAATGAAGGAGATATATGGAATTATGAAAAAATAACTCCTTCACTTCTGTTTTTTTCTGTTGTTGTTGTCTGGTCGTGGGGCCTAAACTCTGGGCCTGAGCACTGTCCCTCAGCTCTTCAGTTCAAGGCCAGTGCTCTACCACTTGAGCCACAGTGCCACTTCCAGTTTTCTAGTGGTTTATTGGAGATAAGAGTCTCATGGACTTTCCTGCCCAGGCTGGCTTTCAAACAGCGATTCTCAGATCTCAGCCTAGGCATCTAGGATTACAGGGTGAGCCATCAGTATCTGGCTTTGTTGTAACTAATTTAAAAAAAAACAAAACAAGAAACCAGATTTTCTGAAAGCATTTGGGGGCTGGGAAGGAGGCTGAAAGTATCTGGTTCCTTGGCTATAGTTTACCAACCCCTGGCCTAAAGGATGCTAAAGAAAAGAAGTGAGCCCGGCACTGGTGGCTCACACCGGTCTCCTCAAGAGGCTGAGATCAGAGGATTGAGGTTCAACTAACCACCAGAGAACTGGGAATGGAGCTATGGCTCAAAGTGGTAGAGGCTAGCCTTGAGCAGAAAAGCTCAGGAACAACTCCTAGGACCTGAGTTCAAGCCCCACGACAGACAAAAAAAAATAGTAAAATAAACACTCATTTATTTATCTACTATCTATAGCTGCTTTCCTGCACCAGCTGCAGAAGAGAGCAGTTGTGAAAACATTTATTATCTGGCCCTTTATAGAAAATGTATTTTAAAATCTACTTCGGACTGACTTAAACTGACAAGACAAAAGGTAAATAAGACTGTACAGAATTAACTCAAAATATGACCTAATGGCCAGGCTCACTAGTGAACTCCTATAATACCAGCATACAGGGCTGAATCTTGAATTCTAGGCCAACATGTACTACATGGAGACCCTGCCTTAAAAAATCCAAAAGAAAAAAGATTATTACCAAACAAAATGTGGGTTAAAAAAAGACTTTCATTAGAGCTTTCCAAAATGGAGAAGTCTACCTTTCATACTGTTTCTTGGTATTTCTCAAAACTGTGATGTGAGAAACTCGGAACATCTGACTGAGTAAATGGAGAAAGGAAGGGACTTTTACATCACATCGCACAGGGGGACTGACTCAAGCCAGAACCGTGTTTCTCTGTATTCTCAGAACAAATCTCTCTGCTTAACTGGTCACATTAGAGCTTTGTTTTGGGAATATCTATATCTATGCCTCTGTGTGTGTGTGTGTGTGTTATATTCTCAACTATATATTCAAATGTACATTTGAATAATCCTCAAATTCAAAATCAGATATAGAGTTTTGGGGTCTACTTATTTAAAAAGCTTTCCAGGTAATAATACTTGAATTAAGTTGAAATAAAACAACAATACCACACACACACAAAAACAAAAAAACCTCATCTTTTGAAGCATGACCTGAAAGGTTCACAGATATTAATGCTTTACTTGGTTGGAGTGGGGGAATGGTTGGATACAGATGATAAAGATATTCATTCCTTATTTGGCCACTGTTTAAACTGGGTAGCAGGTATAGAGAATTCATTACACTATACTCCTTTATGCTGCAAATTTCCCATAAAGTATTTAAACAGTCTCAGTGACTCTAATACAGAAACAGAATGGACCAACATCTAGTCTTCTGTTCCACTGAAAAAGGAGGCTATGGAGGAGTATGGCTCCACTGCCACTACTTTGTAATGACAGGATTTTCAGTCTAGGATTTGAAAGTGCAAACTATTAATATGCCTAGCTCTGGAGCTAAGCCCTTCCACTTATGACCTGACATTTCTGTGGTAGCTACTAACAGAAAGATTGTTTACTCCAAGTGGGCAGTCATCAAAACCACGGGGAAACCAATAGGAAATCAAATTACAGTTTGAAGATGTGGAAATTAGGAGTCTGGACGACATCTTAGGAGGTACCTGAACCTGTTTTCTTATTTCACACAGGGCCAGATGGAGGTGAAGGAAAGAATTAGCTAAAATAGGTCTGATTCACACACTGAGCAATCTATCTTTTATTCAGGATACCAATGACTGTGTAACAGGCTGACTGTACTTAAATCCTGAGTCATTGATGTAGGAATAGGGCAAAACCACCACAAGGCCTTCTCATCCTGAGAGAGCTTTGAGGAAATAAGTTCAGATGATGAGGAAGAAATCCTGAGCTGAGAGAGGGAGAGAAACAAATAAACAAAGAAATGGAAAAGAACCTCCGAGTGATGATGATATTCTCAACTGGGATTCAAATAACAGAGGATCCAAATTACCAAGTGGCACATAAAGGTATTTTTGTCAGTAGCTTATGCCTAAAATCCTACTCAGGAAGCTGAGACAGTGGTTTGAAGCCAGGCCAGAAAATGGAGCTCAAGTGGTATAGAATCAGCCTTGAGTGAAAAAGCTTAGGGACAGCACCCAGGCTCTGAGTGTACACACACACACACACACACACACACACACACACACACACACACACACACACACACACACACACACACACAGAGTATTTTGTCTAAAGCCCAGTTTAGCAGGGAAGTGATCCAATTAAGAAATAATCCAACACATTCCACTCAAACCTACTTCTCTATTCTACCCCAGACTATCTTAGGAAGTAAATGTATCGAATATTGAAAGTGTAACTAGTTTTAACTGTGTCTAGAAACTGTAGCACAGTGCTAGCAGCTCAAGTCTGAAATCCTGACTACTCAGGAGGCTGAGATCTGAAGATCATGGTATGAAGCCAGTCTGGGCAGACAAGTCCCATGAGATTCTTGTGTCCAATTAAGAAGACACTCAAGTGGTGAGGCCCCAGGCTGTGCAAAAACAAACAAACAAAAACAAGCAAGAGGACAAGCCCCTGAGTTCAGGCCCCAATACTGGCACAAACTGTAACACAGTAGCCACACTGCTGTGGTCCATTTGCCTTTTCTTTAGTGCAAACGCAAGTTGCCTCTGGTCAGGGCAGCTATGGGGTTCTCCTACCCACAAGGCAACGTCCTTAGCTCCTCGGATCACTGCTTTTGCACGCTTTTGCACTCGCGAAGTGGCTGGTGTGAAAGGCTGGCTAGGACTCAGTGCATGGGAGGCATCAACCAAATGACCGATCCCTTTCATTGATTTCCCCCCTACCCCCCCCCCCCCCGCAAAAACCAGCAAACCACACAAGTAGTGGCTGCTTATAGCCACATCAAAGGGGAGGCGGACCCTAAGTGCAGACCTATTAGAAGATAAACACACACACACACACACACACACACACACACACACACACACACACACACACAGAGACACACACAGAATGCAGGCTCTCGCAGGAAATCCTACTCAGGAGGCCCGGATCCAAGGATCGCCCCCGAGAAGGAAAATTCGGAAGACTTCCATCTCCAATTCACCACCAAAAAAAAAAAAAAGCCAGAAGTGGAGCTGTGTGTGGCTCAAGTGGCGCCAGTCTTGGGTGAAAAGCTGAGGGACAGCGCCCAGGTCCTGAGTTCAAGACCCAGTCCCCACAGGTGCGGGAGCGCACACACGCACAGACACGCGCACGCGCGCACACACATGCACACCCACCCACGCAGGCACACACGCGTACAAGCGTACAAACACACACACGCACCATGACACACCGAAAAAGTAGTGTCTTCCGACACTGTAAGGCAAAGGTGAGAAATGCAGCCGGGGTCCATGTCCCGCCGGCAAACCCGGCCACCCCGCAAGGGGCGGGCTGGGAGCGGGGGACCCGGGGCCGGGGCCGCGTGCGGGGCGCGGGGACCTTACCCTGGCGTCGGGCAGGCTGAAGACGCTGGGGTCGTCCGTGCTCCCCACCATGATCCTGTGCTCCCGGCCGGGGCCCGAGCCGCCGGCCTCGGCGCGGGCCGCCTTGGCGCCGTGCCGCTCCCCGGATGCGCGCTCGCTGGTGGTGTTCCCCATGGCTGCGGCGGGAACCCGGCACCTGCGGCGCGGCGCGGGGCCGCCCCGGCGGGGACACCGCCGCGCGTCAGGCCGCCCACCTCGACCGGCTTCCCCCGGGGTCCCCGCCGCCCCGCCCCGGGGTCCCCGTCAGCCTCCCCGGGGACCCCGACAGTCCCTCCCCCCGGGATCCCCGACAGCCCCGTCCCGGGGTCCCTGTCAGCCCCCCGGGGTCCTCGCCGCCCCTCGGGGTCTCCGACAGCCCCTCCCAGGGATCCCCGCCCCTCCCCGGGGTCCCCGACAGCCCCCCGGGGTCTCCGACCGCCCCTCCCCGGGATCTCCGCCCCTCCCCGGGGTCCCCGACAGCCCCCCGGGGTCTCCGACAGCCCCTCCCCGGGATCCCCGCCCCCCCCGGGTCTCCGCTCCCCCCCCCGGGCTCCCCGCCACCCCACCCCCCAGGGTTCCTGTCAGCCTCCCCGCCGGGGTCCCCGCAAACCCAGCCCGGCGTTCCCACCACCAGCCGCCCCTCACCTCCGGAGCCGCGCTCCCTGCTCCGGGGCCGCTAGGCGAGGGCAGAGCTGCAAGCGAGGGCGCCAATAAAGTTGTTGAAATTGAAGCCGCGCCCCGGAGAGCGGTGTGGGTTTCCTCCTAAAATGGCTACAAGGCCGGCGGCGCAGGGCCCGCCCCACCTCCCGCCTCCCCCGCCCCCGGCGCTCCCGTGCAGCCACCCCGCGGCCCGCCGCTCTAGCCGCCGTTACCTCGATGGTGCCTAAGCGCATGCGTCCCCCGGAGGGGCGGGGCCTGGGAGCCGGCAGCGCAGGGGGTGGGACGGAGGCGGAGCCTTGGAAGGGCCGGTTGTGCGCGCGGGGCGGGACGAGGGCGTGGCCTAGGTGCAGGCAGTGCGCGACGGACGGGAAGAGGACGGGACCTAGGCGGGGAGGGGGCGGGGCCTTGGAGCCGGCTGCGCGCGGGGCGGGACGAGGGCGTGGTCTAGGTGCCGGCGGTGCACGAAGGGGCGGGGAACGGGCGGGACCTTGCTCCGGGTTGAGCGCGTGGTGGGGCAGGGCCTAGAGCCCGCAATGTGCGGGGGTGGGATGAGGGCGTGGACGAGGGCGGGGCCTGGGTGACAGCTACGCAGGGCGGGACGAGGGCGGGGCCTGGGCCCGGCTGTCTGTTGGTGCGCCCTTGTCCCTGCTCCTGTCCCCTCCGACCCTCTCCTGTCCCGCTCCTTCCTCCCTGCTCTCCTCCCTTCTCCCCTCTCCCCCACTCCAGCGCACACTCGCTCCTTACTTCCGGGTCCCGGGAAGGTGCTGGTAGAGCTAAGACAATCTAGGGTTGGGAGGACCAGGGACTGGGAGCTTGTTAGCAAAGAATCCCCTGCGTGGAGACAGCCAATGACAAGGAAGCATCGAACTGTGACAAGTTCTGCCTTGGCAGCTGCTAAGGAGTGGATCCAGACCAGTGCGTGTGCGTGCGTGTGTGCGCGCGTGCGTGCCAAGACTGAGGCTTCAGCCCTTTGGCTCAGGTTCGGCGCTCGGCCCCTTCCGTCTCAGGCCGGTTAACTGCGGACAGGGAGCGTCCAGGGCTTTGCTGTCCGGGCTGACTTTGAACCGGGGTCCCGAGACCTCCGCCTCCGGGGTGGCTGGGCTTAGAGGGGTGAGCCTGCGGATTGACTCTGGCCCAGATTTTGCCCACAAGGTGCGCAGAGGAACCTGTTAGTGCGCACCGGGAGAGAGTTCATCGCCTTTCACTGGGATCTGCCAGTAGGCTTCCTGACCAGAGCAACTCGTCTTTGCTTGGAAGCTCGCTTCCATATTACTAAGTGGGAAAATGCACTTACCTCCAGCATCCGCGGCTCTTTTCTTACTAGCTCGTTGTCTGGCTCTTAACCGAAGACAGTGTACAGGAAGAACATGTAATGTTACCACGGTGTGGCTCCAAATTCTGTATTGTCTGGGTATTTATTTGTGAGGAGTCTTAGCCCTCCCTTCATCCCAATGCCTTTCATCTTTCTTATGGACTTTGGAGCAATTCTGCTTCTGTTTTCATGGGGGGGAGGGGAGAAGCAAAGTGATTAGCTGATCTTGAGGAGAGGAGAAAGGAGAGGTTTGGGCAGACAGAAGATAGGAAGCAATCATCTAGAAGAGTGAGACAGAGAACTGACTAGAAAACAAGAAAGACTGGTCTTTCTTGGGTCTACTTGGGTTTGGTGGTTATGGATTTGTCAAAGTGAAGTCAACATAGTGACATTTTTCTCTTCAACATATTTAGCAGTTTGGGTGCAGACCTATTTCAAAGGTGAATTTTGGTTAAACAGGTAGCTACAGTTAGGAGGCAGCAAAGTTGAGCCAGTAAGTGCACTGATGATGCTGGACCATGATTTTAAGCCAGGTGGACCAGAAATGAAGATCAAGCAGATTGGTGGAAAGTTCTGTGGAGTCAAAGAACCATCATCACTGGAGCTGTGAAGGGAAGGGATGGTTTGGGAGAGCAGAAGGCTTACACTGACATCATTTAGATATGACTGTGGTCATCCGAAGATAGTGGGAGGGAGATCATAAAATCATGAGGCTAAGAAGGCCATAGAACTGAAAGGTGAGGTGGTGGAGAGTGTTAGAGGTCTGTTTCAACCTTCATTTTCTTTTCCTTAGTAACAACTTTGATGTGTGTGCCTGTGTGTGTGTGTGTGTGTTTGCCAGTACTTAGGCTTCAACTGAGTAGCTAGGGCTACATCTGGGTGCCACTAGTCCCTGTGTCCATTGGACATACATTCTTTTTTTTGGTCGGTCCTGGTGCCTGAACTCGAGGCTGGGTGCTGTCCTTCAGCTCTTCAGCTCAAGGCTAGCGCTCTACCACTTGAGCCACAGCGCCATTTCCAGCTTTTCTGCTTATGTGCTGCTGAGGAATTGAACTCAGGGTCTCATGCATGCAAGGAAAGCACTCTACCACTGAGCCACCTTCCCAGCCCAGACATACATTCTTCATTGCAGTTTTTGAGCACTTTTTTATGGCACTAGAAAAATACATTCTAAAACATCAGACCTACTTCAATTTGGAAGACAATACAATCTTTTATAAAATTGCAACAGCAAAATGTGATGGATGAGTGTTTGTATATTCTCATCTATACCTTTGGCTTTGTATCTTGAGTGATTTTGAGTTTAATATCCTGTTAACATGGGTTAGGGATGTAGCTCCAAGGAAGAGCACCTGCCTGGCAAGTGAAAGGCCCTGAGTTCCATCACGCACGTGCGTGCACGCATGCACACACATACACACACACACACACACCACCTTATTCACAGCTTACCTGCAGCTTGGTTTAGAAAATAACCAATGATGTTTTGTGGCCTCACATATTATAAGTAGAATGAAAAACTTGAAGTAATTGAAAATTACATACTCTAAACAGAAACCAGGGCATTGAGAGCAGCAGACAAAGAGCCTAGCTGGCAGTGAGGGCAAACCCCCCTTGGACAGAGGTTCTTCATCCCTCACTGTAGGGCTATTAGGCACCATGTCTTGGCTCCTGGACATCACTTCAGAGCCAACTAACCCACTGTTTGTTGGTGTATTTGTATTAATTAAATGCTGTCTTTAGTTGTTCAGATCTAACTTGTAGCTACGTAATTCACAGTCATCCCCAAATGCACAAACCCTGCCTCAAAGCAATTTGCCATCATGCACCTGCCTGGCATGGTAGTGCATTTCCTCCTGGGACTCAGTACACATGGCATCCATGCTTCTTTAACTTCTCCACAAAGTAAGAGCAGAGTGAAACTTCATTGGATGAGAGAACAGAATCACATTGGACCTAAAGGCAAGACCCGGATGTCTCTTTCATGTGCTGTGTTTTATAGACATTCATGAAAATCCAGTACAAGCTGAACACCCTGCCATTCATTAATGTCAATTCTAAAAAGATTCTTGTCATGTGGACTTTATTTCAGGAAGAATGGAAGAGAAATCAGTGTAGACCTTACTACAATAGCTGACAGCCAAAATTTCCTGAGCTTATATCTTGGGGAATACTCCTGTGAGGACTAAGAGATTACAATAAAATTTGGCTAATTAAAAAAAAGTCAAGTAGAGAACCAAGCACTTGTAATCCTGACTACTCAGGAGAATGAGATCTGAAGATCAGGATTCAAACTCAGCCCAGGCAGAAATGCCAGTGAGACTCTTCTTTCTAATTAACCACCAAAAAGGCCAAAAGTGGAAGTATGGCTCAGTGGTAAAGCAATGGCCTTGAGCAAAAAGCCAAATGACAGGGTAAGATCTTGCGTTCAAACCCTAATACCAGCACACACAAAAAAGTAGAATGCAGTAGTAGGTGGTAGATTATCCAAATGACCCATTAGTCTAGAGTGCAGAAAACAGTTTCTTTATTGAGAGCATGAAGATAGTTGCTTAGAGAAAAGCAGTAAAACTCACAAGTTCTTGGATATACCAGTGAAGAGTAAGTTAAATGTCTTGACTATCTACATGTTTTATCTAAAGTTACCTACAATTATTGTAAGATGATTATTTCTCTTATCTCTCAGCATACATACAATTAATTACAATATTAAAAACTCATAGAATACAGCTTCTCATAGACAGTCATTTTTTATAGACACTGACTTAGGGTCCCCACTAAAACATTTGATGAACCATAACCATTTATTTATTTAGCACAAACTACATGTCAAACATGCTGGCTAGTACCTATAAAAGAAGACACAAAGAGAACCTGCGAGTGGATGCTAGAGGCTCACATCTATAATCGAAGCTATTCAGGAAGCTGATAGCTGAAGATCCCACTTCAAAGGCAGCCCACAGACAATTCCTAGAGACTCTATCTCCAATTAACCAGCAAAATCCCAGAAGTGGAGGTATAGCTAAAATGGTAGAATGTCAGCCTTGAATGCAAAAGCTAAAGGACAGCAGGCCATGAATTTAAACCCCAGCTCATGAAAGAAAAAAAGAAAGAAAGAAGGAAGGAAGGAAGGAAGGAAAGAAAGAAAGAAAGAGAGGAAGAGAGGAAGAGAGGAAGAAAGAGAGAGGAAGAAAGAGAAAGGAAAACAAGAGAAAGAGAGAAAGAGAAAGGAAAACGAGAAAGAAAAAGAGAGAGAAAGGAAAACAAGGAAGGAAGGAAGGAAGGAAAAGAAGGAAGGAGGGAAGGAGGAAGGGAGGAAGGGAAAGAGGGAAGGAAGGGAGGGAGGGGAAGAGAAAGAAAAAGAAAACCTGATCTCACAGTCTAGAACCTGCCACAGGAAAAAGTGATAGATAAAAAGAAGGGAGATGAGCTACTAGAAAGATAGACTTCACTGTATGGGAAAAGGAAGAGGATTAATGCTTGTGGAAGAGAAATGAAGGTTGGTGTTTGGGCAATATGAAGCTGGGCGTTCAGTCTTGTCAAGGGACCTGAAGGCATCTCTGGTGAAGCTAGAGCTTTGACCACAGTTCATCTAAAAATAAGCCATAATGACAGCAAAGAGAAGCACCGCTAGAATGAATCTGCTCATGGTTATCACTGAAGATGAAGAGTGACTCCTTTCCACTGCTCTGGTCATCAGAGGCTTTCGTACTCGATCGTCTGTGGTTAAGATCGTTTCTCGAGCTCGGTCCCACTTTCCAGGACCCTGGAGACGGTACTGGACAGGAGTGCAGGGTCCAAATAGGACCTTTAGTGCTAGCCTGGGGTCAGTGCAGGCCAGAGACCAAAGGTCGGGCCTGACACCCACACACTCAGCCATCTCTTCCATGGTATCTATGTAGTCTCCCTGAATGGTGTGGCGCTGGCTGTCCACATACCTGAAGGAGAGAAGACAGAAGCCTTGAACTATCAACAATTCAACCAACCAACCCACCAACCAACCAATCCGTGCTCTTTGAGTATCTGCTGGTTGACTTGATTTTGGACAAGGAACTGTGGAAACTACAGAAGCCAGTTGTCACCACTTTTAAGGATCTTATGATGGACAAGAGGAGATAAGAGAGACAGATGAAACAGAGGAGGAAACAAGGCTTTTGGTCCATTCTATGGGTTTTGAATGCTATGTAGAAATGATAAAGAGAGTATAGTTAAAAGAGAACTGCCATAGGTCCTACAAAGATAAGACAAAAACAAAGAAGAGTATTCAAAGTCAGGTGAACAAAGCCAGGGGAGCTGGCTCATGCCTATAATACTAGCAACTTGGAAGGCTGAGATCTGAGGATTGAAGTTCAAAGCCAGACTGGGCAGGAAAGTTGGTGAGAATCCTATCTCCAATTGACCACAAAACAGCCACAAGTGTAGAGCTCAAGTGTAGAGTCCCAGCTTTCAGCAGAAAAGAGCCTGAGTCCCTGAGTTCAAGCCCCACTCCTGACCCCCATCAACTAAAAGTCAGAGGAGCTGCAAAGTGAAGGGTGGGCAACATGGACATAGAATATGAGCGTAGAACATTTGTAGGTGTTGACTACGCACTGGAGGGCAAAATCAAACACAGAAGAGCCAGCCCAGCACATGCAGATGCAGAAAGCTGGGCCAAAGGTTTTCTGGCATGAGATCTTGAATTGTTTTATGAGTCAGTGACAGAGGCGGGAGTGTCCACAGAGCAGGCCCTCCAAGGCCAAGGTAGACTTGGAAGCCTGAAAGGAAGTGGGGGATGACTTATTCTACAAGCGTATATAATAGTTATATCAAGGCATAGTTATATAATAGTTATATCAAGTTATATCAGATATAATAGTTATATCAAGTGCAGATTTGCAGAGTTAAGAGGACATTTTATAGGAGGAAATGTGCTTAACAGGAATGAAATGGGGTTTGGGGAGATAACCAGAGAATTTTTTCTTGTTTACAATACTCAAGTTTGAACTCACGGCCTATGCTTCACTTGGCTTTTTCTATCAAAACTGGCATTCTGCCATTTGAGTCACATCTCCTCTTGGCATTTTGTTCATTAATTATCAATAATATGGTCTCATGGATTTTTCTGCCAACGCTTTGAACTGTGATCCTCAGATCTCAGCCTGCTGAGTAGCTAGGATTATGGACGGCCACCAGTCCCTGGCTAGTAATCCTACATCTCCCTGGGAAATTGTCTTACCTTTTTGCCATTTCCTCTTGAGCCTTAATTATTTCTGCCATCATTTCACTTTTGGGGGGCAATTTCTTTAGCCCTAAAGAGAAAAATGAAATTTTGAAATATATAATTTCTCAGGGAAGAACAACAACCCTATTAACAATTAGTGCACTGTAAAGAATTCTAAGAATTACAGGATAATTTTCTGTACTCAAAGAGATTATAGTGTTTATTTGACCATCTTATCCTATCACTACTGAAATATGCTACAACTTGAGCAATCTTAATCTGAAAATTACAAATAAAAAATGATCCCAAATTAAAATTTCTTTCTGTGTGTGTGTGTGTGTGTGTGTGTGTGTGTGTGTGTGTGTGTGTGTGTGTGTGTGTGTGTTGCGGTTTGAACTTATGGCCTTAAACTCTCACTTAGATTTTTCACTCAAGGTTGGAGCTCTACCTCTTGAACCACAGCTTTACTTCCAGCTTTTTGTGGTTTATTGAGGATAAGAATTTTGTAAGCTTTTCTGGCTTCACTTGTTTCAAACATAGATCCTCAGATCTCAGCATCTTGACTAGCCTGGACTACAGGCAGGAGCCACCAGGGCCCAACACCAAGTGTTATTGTTTTGAACCACTGAAAAAGAAATAAAAATAAACTTATCAATCACATGTTTGTACTAAAGGTCAATGGAAGATAATCCTCTCCTTCTAAGCCTTTTATTTGATAAGATTTGTAAAATAATATCAAGAGCAACCCTTATTGACCTTAATTTATCTTGCAAGATAAATTAAGCACTGATACACAATAGTATGAATTTCTGTGGGAGAAGTTTCATGCCAAGGACACAACAAGACACATAGCCAATTGTATTTCAGTAAAAATAAAACAACAATAACTCTCTTACAATTAGCCTTATACCTACATATGTATACTCCATGTCATGCAGAAACCTTTAGACACATCTGATTCTTAAGTAGCATTCCACAGAACTCTGGAGCCTTGAGTTTCTGAATGGGAATACATCTGACCTAACAATACCACTAATACCAAGTGGTTATGTCTTTCCTCCCTAAACATTGAGATCTCATGACCTTCACAGGAGGTGATAGAATTAGCTGCTTTAGTTTTGGGAACATTATTGTTCTCTGCTTTGCTAGTTTCCCTTTCTTAGGCACACCCCAACCACCTTGCTGGTGTGCTTCTCCTAAACACAGAACTCCAAACCCTCAGAAAGAGCCTCCTGAGCTGGGTGCAGGTGGCTCATGGCTATAATCCTCGAAACACAGGGTATGAAGCCTCAGGACTGTGTTTCAAAGCTAGCCCAGGCAGATAAACCTGAGAGACTCTTCTCTCCAGTTAACCATGAAAAAGCCAGAAGCAGAGGTATGGATCATGTGAAAAGTACAAGGCACTGAATTCAAGCCCTAATACCAGCAAAAAGTAAATAAATAAATAAATAAACAAATCAATACATGCATTTCTTGTGTGTTTTTCCCTATCTTCCCATATTAGCCAGTGAACTTTTAGTTATTTTTAATAAATCAGTGAGGAAACAGGGAAATTAGATTGAGATTAGTCACTGAGAATGCTCAAGGAACCTACCTTAGGATTTGATTTCCAAATTACTTCTCAAGCCACAACCATAAGCCATTACATTAGGAAGAGGTCTATTTCCTAGTGGTCAGAGGCAGATAATTCATTTAAAAACCTACTAGGCACTGAAGGCTCACATCTGTAATCCTAGCGACTCAGGAGACTGAGATCCGAGCACTGTGGTTCAAAGCCAGCCTGGTCAGACAAATCCACAAGACTAATCTCCAATTAACCAGCAAAAAGCTTGAAATGAAGGCACAACTCAAGTGGAAGATACCCTCTACTGTGAGCATAAAAAGCCAAATGAGAACAAATGTGCATGGCCTTGAGTTCAACTCCAGTATTATCATAAAGTGAAATAAATGTGAAAAGCTAGATTTATTTGAAACTTTTAGAAGCCCAATCATTCTGCTGATGCACAGAGTCCACTATCTTAAACCAGTTTTCTTGTATATTCCTAGCTGAAGGAAGGACCATAGAAGGCAGAGAAGTAAGGAATTGAGAGATGAAGAGTCCACATTCTGGAATAGTCTATACCCAGGTCTTTAATTTTTGGCTGAAATTAGTTCACATCATGTTTTAGTATTTGATGTTATCTATATTAAAAGACTGGGGTTTTTTTGCTTCATAAATGATACCAATTTTCTCCAATCTGTAATGTACATTGGAGTGATCCAGGTACCTCAGACTTAGGAAATGCACATTGCCAGGGATGGGATCAAATCATGCCTCCTTGGGAAAAATTTCCCAGCTGATGTTGGGATATGTACAAATGATTGATATAAATTGCTACTCTATATTAATATAGGTTGTTGGTTAATGAGACATTAACAATTTAAATGGCTAATACATTTATTAGTAAAGGATTCCTATAAATTGTTAATATTACCTATTAATCTCAGTTTTTGCTAAATTTTAAATTCCACTTAAAAATAAATTTTCAGTACTAATTTTGTGCCAAGCACCATTAAAGTCATTCAGACTGCCTCTAGCCATTTAAAACGAAGTACACCAACATAAGAAAGGTTGTGTCTCCACTTACCTTTGAACACTTGGGTGGCCCAGCGTGCTTGGAGTTCTGCAATGGGCATGATGGCTCCCAAAGGCTGGATCAAGCCTATGATTGCAAGTGTTGGTTTTTCCAGGTGAGGAGGAAAAACTTTCTTATACAGGGAGACCTTATTTTTGACCACTTTGACAGAATCATCCTTAAGGAAAGGAAAGGCAAAACTATAGCCCGTGGCAAAGATGACAACGTCAATGTCCTCCTCCCTGGAGCCATCTTCAAATATGGCTGCTGTCTCTGTGAATTCCTTCACATTTCCTTTCACTTTCACCAGGCCAGAAATGATACGATTTGGCAGCTCATCATTTACTGTTGGATGCTGACTCAGAGCTCTGTGAGTGGTAAGAAGGATAAAGGGAAGGAGAAATGAGTGACCAAGAGAGAGAAATGAGGGACACAGAAAAGGGGAGAGGAAAACAGAAATCAGTACCATGGCTGGTGCCATTGACTCATGCCTGTAATCCTAGCTTGTCAAAAGGCTAAGATCTGAGGATCATAGTTTGAAGCCAGCCCAGCAGATATGTCTGTGAGACTGTTATGTCCAATTAACCAGCAAAAATCCAGAAGCAATCCTGGTGCAGATGGCATATGCCTGGAATCCTAACTACTCAGGAGGCTGAGATCTGAGCACTGCAATTCAAAGCCAGCAAGAAAATCCATGAGACTCTTCTCTGCAATTAACTATTGAAAAGCTTAGAAGTTGAGCCATGGCTTAAAGTGGCTGAACGCTAACATTGAGCATTAAAGCTCAGGGACAGTGCTCAGGCCCTGAGTTCAAGCCCTAGACCCATCACTCATACACAAAAATAGCCAGAAGCAAAGGTGTAGCTCCAGTAGCTAAGCACCAATTTGGAGCAAAAAAAAAAAAAAGCCAAATGAGAGCTTGAAGCCTGTGTTCAAGCTCCAATATTGGCACACACAGAGGACAGAAGTGAGTACCATGTCAACTCAATTCTGGTTGGTGAAGGTGATTAAACACCACTGGTTCCCCTCAGTCTGTCATGGAATTTGGGAAACATCGACTTTATACCAACTTGGCACAGATCAGAATCTCAAGGCCAAAGCTGGAGTATGGAGACATGGAAAGGGAGGGCAGTAGAGGAGTGAAGGAAGAGTTTTATTTGAGGAGTGGCCATTTGAAAAGGCCATACACCAGTAGCTTTCACCTGCATATCAACAAGTCTGGCAGAGCTAGGTGATCAACCTTCTATACAGTCCCATTTCCAGTTTCTGTCTCGTGTCTCTTCTCTCGTTTAGGCATAGTACCATGCCTTGTTCGCAGCATGATAGTGAATGAATGATGGAATGCCCACTATCACTTTTTCAGTTGTTGTTGGACATCACAGAGGAACTGATACGTGAGGAAAAGATGGATGCCAAGGAGGATGGCAGATTGAAAGCACAACCTCTAGAGGCGCACAGCTTAGCTTTCTGTGTGTTTGACATGGTAGAAATCTGAGTTCAGGTTCTGGGGGGTTCTTTTTCCTTTTTTTGGTGGCACTAAGTTTTGAACTCAGGGCCTCATGCTGGCTAGGCAAGTGCTCTACTGCTTGAGCCACTTCCCAGCCCTTTTTGCTTTAGACAGGGTGCTTTTGCGCAGGGCAGCCATGGACTGTAATCCACCTACTTACAGGCTCATGCCAAGCTACATGTTGAGATGGGGTTTTGCTAACATTTTGCTTGGGTTGGTCTTGAAATGTGATTCTCCTGATCTCAGACTCTTGAGTAGCTGGGATTATATGCATAAACTCCCATACCTGGATCTGTAGTTTTTCTGTTTTTCTTTTAAATATGGACATTGTAGTTCAATTGATCATCCTGTCTGCCCAGGCCATCACCATGTCTCCCTCCTCTTGTTCTGAGAGCTTACCTATGTTTAGGTTTCAAGCCAAACATTTCATGGTCAAAGCGTTGGTTTATCCGTCTTTCCAAATATGAACTTGAAAGTGAGGGGCCACACATCTTTGATAAAAATTGCCAAAATCTAGAGGACACTTCCATGTCAAAGGGATATCCATTCTGGCCCACACGGTTGAGGACCCAAGTTCCTCTCCTGGTGCTGAGGAACACCTGGGTCATGGGAGCAAGATTTGTGCTGTCATTCAGGCTCTTGGTCCACCCAAAACACCCCTCCTTCTTTTAAGATTAAATTCAAGCTCACTCATCTGGCCTCCATGACCTTTGAACGAAAATGCCCTGGAATTTTCCTTCCCAAACATGAAGACTGTGATTAGAATGTTGCCTTCACAGTCCATGAATATGTCTTTATATGATCTGCAACTTCATCTCTGATCATAGCTATTTTACCCAACAAATCCTCTTGCTTCTTCATCCTCCTGGGATCCAGATCAAACCTTTTCCACCAGGGCACCAATGACCATCCAGGCTGATAAACTTCCCTTAATCTTCTGAAACTCCCTAGCACTCACCACTGAAGGGACTCATTAAAAATCATGGAAACCTCTCTGGGCCCTGGCTGATCATACCTGTAATTCAAATTCCCCAGGAGGCTGAGATCTGAGGATCACAGTTTGAAACTAGATAGAAAAGTCCATAAGATGCCGGGCGCTGGTGGCTCACGCCTGTAATCCTAGCTACTCAGGAGGCTGAGATCTGAGGATCGCAGTTCAAAGCCAGCCCGGGCAGGAGAGACTGTGAGACTCCTATCTCCAATAAACCACCAGAAAACCGGAAGTGGCGCTGTAGCTCAAGTGGTAGAGCACTCGCCTTGAGCTGAAGAGCTGAGGGACAGCGCCCAGGCCCAGAGTTCAAGCCCCACGACCGACAAAAAAAAAAAAAAAGAAAAGTCCATAAGACTCTCACACCAGTTAGCCAACAAAAAAACTAGAAAAAGAGATGTGGCTCAAGTGGTAGAGCCCCAGGTTTCAGTGTTAAAGACAAGAAAGTGTGCAAGGCCCTGAGTTCAAGCCCCAGTACCAGGACCAAAATTTTTTTTAAAAGATTCCCTATTTATAAAATAGTGGCATAAAATAATACATCAAGAATTAGTCCCTTGATAAGCTGAGATGTATAGATCCACTGAAATTTACAAACAACTTCTCATATGACACAAAAGTGGGACCCCAGCAACCAAGCCTCTCCGGCCTGCGTGGGCATTGATGGTGCTGTTCCTGCTACCTGGGGACAGCTCTGCCATGCATTTTCCTGGGCCTCTCACAGACAAGGCTGCCTGACCTCCATCCTCTTTGGATGCTTTCTTTCTTGGCAATCTACAGTACTTGGTGCTCAGTTGCTGTTCCTTTAGCACTGATCACTAACAAACCAGACGTGCCAGTGATATTAAAGAAGGCTCTTACATAGGTTCCCATACACAGTGCACAACCATCTAGCAGAACAACCATACGTGTTTCCTCTCTCCCTCCCTCCCTCCCTCCTTCCCTTCCCTTCCTTCCTTCCTTCCTTCCTTCCCTTTCTTCCTTCTCTTCTTTCTTTCTTTTTTTTTTTTTTTTGTTGGTTGTGGGGCTTGAACTCAGGGCCTAGGCTCTGTCCCTGAGCTTTTGCTCTCAAGGCTAGTGCTCTACTTACTACATTGAATCACAGCATCACTTCCAATTTTCTGGTGGTTAAATAGAGATCATAGACTTTTCTGCCCAGGCTGACTTTGAACTGTGATCCTCAGATCTCAGCCTCCTGAGTAGCTAGGATTACAGGCATGGGGCCACTGACATCTGGCTTAAGGGTTATTTCTTTTCTTCTTTTTTGTTTAGGTGGGAGACCAGGATTCAAACTTAATACCTGAAGCCTTGGCCCACTGGCTAGTGCTCACCAAATGAATCACACCTCCAATCCTTACTCCTTCTTCTTTATAGAGTTCTTGCCTCTGAAATGTCTGTAGAATTAATGCATGGGGGGATATGCAATCCCATTTGTAGTGACAGATTCCGGTATTAAAGAATAGAGTTGTTATTGGACCCGAGTTGCAGTGTCAGTATCATTTAAAAAGATTAGAGCATTAGCATATATTTAGGGGGGATATTGGGGCTTAAACACAGGGCCTTATGTTCTTGCTTGGCATTTTTGCTCCAGTCTGATGTTTTACCACTTGAGCCATATCTCCACTTCCGTTTTTGACTAGTTAAGTTGGAGATAAGAGTCTCATGGACTTTTCAATTCTATGTGGATTGTCTTCAAACCACTATCCTCAGATCCCAGCCTCCTGAGTAGCTAGGATTACCACTATTGGCCACCATTCCCTAGCTTGCTTGTATTTTAAATAGAAATCGTTTGAAGAATCTCTTTTGTAGAGAATTACAGCATAATTAATGTAACTGAGAAACAGTGGCATTTATCTATTAATCTTGTTCATTTAGTTATTCATCTTGTTCATAGAGTTGAGATACAGTAAACACTCAACAAAATATAATCATGGTGTCTTGGTCTACAAATTTAGTGTGATGACATTTTCTTTCCAGATAAAAATCTATGATATCAAAGCCAAGTCCAAAAGAACAAGGTGATAGAAACTGTTCTAGAATGAACGTCATCCTGTATTACTTAACTATATGCAAAGCCAGCACAGCTGTTGGCTTGACTACAATGTGAATGCTCATCATGTTCTTGGAAAGATCAGATTGCTTTCCTTTTCCCATTTGGAGACCCAGAAAGAAAATTCCCCCTCAGACACAAGAATGGACACAAGAATGGAAAGTTCTCACTGAGCCCTGTATGCTGTCATTTACAGAACAGTGAGGCACTTCGGGGACCATTTGGCTGAACTCCTGTGAAAACAACACCAGCCACATCTTCCAGCCACAGCATAGACCTCCACAGAGCCAAGGCTGAGGGGACCATGAAAGCCCTCTGCAGACATCAAGGAATCCTTCAGCATAAGGCTAGCTGAATGATAGAGACCTCCCTGGTAGTTTAAGGGCTCCACCATCAGACACAATACCAATGTCAGAGTCAGAGAAGCCATACTCTGCCTGTTCTACTGGCACTGGGGTGGTAGGGAAGGGCTGCGTGCAGCTCTCCCTGCCCTTTGTGGGGTGCCCTTTGTGGGGTATGCTTCCCTTCCTTGATGAGGGTAAAGCAAAGTTAAGTCACACATTTCCTGATTCCAACCTGCTTGGCAGTGTGGCTGATCTCCACAGCCAGATCCCCTCCGGAATTTCCAATGCCAATGATGATGACTCTCTTCCCCTTGAACCCTGTGGGGTTCTTGTAGTCTCGACTGTGGAAGTATTGTCCCTGGAATCTCTCAATTCCTGCCAGACAAGGGAGAAGCATTATTGGGAGACATCCTATAGGATGGATGTTGTGTGTCATCTCAGGAAGCTTCAAGCTTGGGTTTTCCATGTTCTTCTTTCTTTGGCTACTCTCTTGCCTTCCTGAATATTTTTAAAGGTATTTTCTGCTCTCTTTTCAGAATTATTATTATTATTGTTTATTTCTGCTCGCAGAGGTAGTAATTTCCTTATTGCCAGTAGTTTGTATTTTGGCTTTTTAGGTCCACTGGCCACACAGCCTCAGAAATCCCCAGTCTCTCTGGTCTTTTCATTCCCTGAAATGTCTGTCCCAATTTCTCTTTTTTTCTTGCTTTCTTTGTGGCTTAAGGCTGGTACTTTACCACTTGAGCCACAACTTTGTTTCTATTATTTTTCAGGTTAACTGGAGAGAAGAGTCTCGTAGATTGGTCTGACTAGGCTGGGCCTGACCTATGATCCTCAAATCCCAGCCTCCTGAGAAACTAGGATGACAGCTGTGAGCTCCCATAGCCCAATACTGGTCTCATCTAAAATCAGATGGCTACTCTGTATTGCACACTCTGACTGTACATACAATATGTATTAGGGCTGGGAAGGTGGCTCAGAGGTAGAGTGCTTGCCTTGCATGCATGAGGCCCTGGGTTCGATTCCTCAGCACCACATAAGCAAAAAGAAAAAAGCCAGAAGTGGCGCTGTGGCTCAAGTGATAGAGCGCTAGCCTTGAGCTGAAGAGCTGAGGGACGGCGTCCAGGCCGGGGTTCAGGCCCCACGATCAGACCAAACAAAACAAAACAAAAACAATATGTATTAAAAATGAGAATCCAAGCCAAAGACTATAATAATTCAATGCCTTAAGCTCTGATTTCATCCTAGAAACTCAATGGTTCTGGTTATTTTTTTCTACTGCTGAAAAATTCTTAATTTAAACAAATGTTGCTCCATAGTTTAGTTTAGTTTAGTTTTTACTAAAGCCAAAGCCAGATGCTGGCGGCTCATGCCTGACCTGAACTCCTAGCTACTCAGGAGGCTGAGATCTGAAGATCATAGTTGGAACTCAGACTGGGAAGGCAAAGCTAAGAAACTATTATCTCCAATTAACAACCAAAAAGCCAGAAGTGGAGCTGTGGCTCAAGTGGCAGAGCATTAACCTTGAACAAGAACACCAAGAAAGCCCTTAAGGCCCTAAGTTCACATCCCAGTACCAGCACACATACATCAATAGAACAAATGTCACAGGTTGCATTCAGTTTAAGACCTTTGCCCCCAAAGACAGGAATGAACACAACTCCTCAGGTCCGGGGTGGTTTCGAGCCTCCCCTCCCCATCAGGTTACTCACCAGGAAAGCTGTCCAGGGGCAGGTGAGCATCAGTGTGGTGGCCTGTGCAAACCATCACTCCATCGAAGACCTCCACCTGCTCTGTCCCCTCACACTCGGTGACCACCTCCCACTGGCCCGACGTACAGAAGTCAGGCTGCTTCTTCACGCTGCACACGGCCGTCTGCAAAGTGACAGTCATGGGGGACTGCTGCCCTGGCTGTACAGCAGTTCCCATACCCTTACAACCCCTGCCGCTAACTCTCTCTCACACCTGCAGAAGGCTGCTGTCACAGCCACCATGACACCACAGGCCCATGTGCAGACATTTGATTTGACAATCTGCAAGGGAACTGATTCGGGGCTGATAGTAAGAAAACCTCCATGAGGCTGACTAAGTACATTAGCTGCCAGGAAATGGGCAAGTTGCTAGGTCTCTTGTCTACACCTGAAGGCACTGAGCACTTGAGGGAAACTTTGGCCACATTCCATGCCATCTCCATACCCACTGACATCTTCTTACCCAGTGGTTAGCAATCGTGGCCAAGTTGTACAACCAGGAGATCTTAAAGTTCCTGTTCTATTGATTCCACTCATGCATTTCACTAACATCAAAATAGAATGCAACAGAAACACTCTAGCAGCTGGCTTTCTATGCCTGCACACAAAATATATGGAAGACCTTCCTGATTATTGTTCAGACACAGAGATGACAAAGAATAGAGCCTTAGCCTGGACAGGAGAGATCCAGGTGGGTTTCCAACCAATATCTACACAAAAGCCCTGACCAATGGAGTCACAGTTTTCATTTGAGAAATAACTTGAGATGCCCCCCAAAATTCCCTAGCTGACCTTGAACCGGATATACTTGAGAAGGTCGAATTCTTTGGCATACATCCGGAAGTACTCCAGGACTTGGGAGTTGTGCATGAAGTTGGGGAAGTGGTCTGGAATGGGGAAGTCGCTGAAGCACATCATCTCCTTAGAGGTATTGATAACCACTGACTGGTAAATACTGGCCCTGCCTTGCTCAGGGTTTTCCTGCGTTAAACAAGAAGCAAACAGGCCAACTTGAGAATTCATGATTTATAAATAATGAGTAAACATTTGGAAAAGCTTTCTAAATAAAATGCCCAGCACACAAGTAATACACACACACACACACACACACACACACACACACACACACACACACACACACACAATCTCCCACTCTTGTGCTCTTCCCTTTCCCCCTTCCCCATGTAGTCCCTTCCCTTTCTCTTTACTCGGAATTATGATGTGTTTTGTTTTGTAAGCTTTTAAAAATATTTTTATTGTTATTTAAAAAGGTGATGTACAGAGGAGTCACAGTTCTTTTGTGGTGTGTGTGTGTGAGAGAGAGAGACAGAGAGACAGAGAAAGACAGAGAGAGAGAAAGAGAGTACTGGGGCTTATACTCAGAGTTTGAGTGCTGTCCCTGAGCTTTTTGCGCTCAGGGCTAGTGCTTGAGTCCGACTAACCAGGTTTTTTATCATCAATTGCAGATAAGCCAGGACTTTCCTGTCCCGGCTGGTTTCAAATCAAGATGTTCAGATCTCAGCCTCCTGAGTAGGTAGGATTACAGGTGTGATCTACTGATGCCCAGATCACAGTGAATATTTCTAACATCTCAGATTCTCCAACTGTGAACTTGTGGAAAATATACATTCTAAGCTCTGTACCTCCTCAGGTCCTCTAAGCAGTCACTCAGTTCATTCAGGGTTTCCTTTATTAAACACATGTGAGGCACACACTTGACCTCAAATGGAAGAGGGGGCCACCCAAAGCGAGTTATCTCTGTGGAAATCAATGTGTTATGATGAGTCAGCGTTGATTTTCAAGGCATCAGGTCAAAGGTATTGAAAATTGTGCCCTGAAAGTAATCAGAAAATGTTGTCAAACTATTCTTTAGCCAAGAACAACTAAACCATTCAGAAACTTAAGAAGCAGAAATCTGAAATTCATGTTTCAGTTTTGGTAGTTTAATGGAGATAGGACACTCGCAGACTTCCTGAGGTCTCAACTTTTTGGGTAGCTAAGATTCTAGGTGTAAGCCACCAGGGCCTGCAGCAACTTCTTAAAGAGGAGGCTCAATGGGCTTGGACTTGAATGACTTCTCCAAGTTCTCACTCCTAATAGATGACAGACACAAGCTTTGAGCATGCTGCTATTCTCTACCCTCTGTGGTGGCTAGATTTCAAAAACAGAATTTGGTGCCAGGAGCCAGTGGCTCACACCTGTAATCCTAACTATTCAAGAGGCTCAGATCTTGGGGAAGTTCAACTCTAAATGCAAGCAGATATGACAAAGTAAACAGGACTCAAGAAACAAAGGACCTCTTCTTAATTTATCATATCATTTCTAGATGACCCCATATTCTTGACCTCGTATATAGTATATACATGTGCATATCTGAGGGAAGATAGGAGAAGGGCACAGAATCAGAGGGAAACAATACAACAGAGGGGCTCATCAGCTGCACCGGACACTGATGAAAATGAACTAAGCAACTCAAGGGCAGCGATGGGAGGGAAGGGATGAGAGGGAAAGAGGGAACAGCTGACACTAAGCAAAAGGAAAGAAATGTACCTATCACCCAATGTGGAAGAAATAGCTGTAGTGTCAAAGTTTGTAGAAACCATAAGCTTTATAGACCATGATACTGATAATGTGCCTCATGAAGGTTAAAATATGTGTGTGACTTGAATTAAGTATCACTACCCCACAATATTGTGAATTTTGTGAAATTTATGTAATCGCTTAATCCCAATAAAAGGGTGGTGGGTAGGGGAAGAGGCTTAGATCTGAGAATCATGGTTCAGACAAAGCCCTGAGACTCTCACCTCCAATTAACCACTAAACATACAGGTGGAAAAGGAGGTGTGGCCCAAGTGGCAGAGCAGTAGCCTTGTAAGAGAAGCTAAGGAAGAGCATGAAGGCCCTGAGTTCAAGACCCAGTACACGTACACACACGTACAGAATGAATATAACCATGAAAGGATATCAGGTGCCCTCTGCCCTCTTCCAAAAATAAAGAACTTTGGACTTGTGGAGAGAAAGTTCAGAGCAAACAAAGCAAATTGGATTTTATATTCCTGACAAATCCGCCAAAATGTCAAGATGAGGAGGCAGGCCTGTCGTGGAATCATCTAAAGTTCACTGTGACGTTTCATGGGGAAAAACCATAAAAATCCAAGGTTGAAGGGGTGGGGGGGTGTTCCTGGGAGGGATTGTGAGCAAATAAGTAATTCCAGCTCATTTGCCAGGGACAACAATCCTTGCACACTCAACAACAACAACAACTTTTAGAAGGATTTTAGTATCACAGGGCTCAAGTAGTAAGAAATGCTTAAAGAAAGAGAGAGGGGCAGGGAGAGAGGGAGGGAGGGAGACACACAGACACAGACAGACAGACAGACAGACAGACAGACAGACAGACAGACAGACAGACAGACAGACAGAGGGGGGACAGAGAGCTGAGGGCTGAGCCAGGCCCTCAGGCTGATTTCTCGCCGCTCCAGTCGTGAATCCCGGACCCGAAGGGGCGACCCGTGTCCCCCCCCCCTCCGCCCCCTTGGCCGGACGCCGCCGTACCTGGAACCTCCAGAGCCCCCCGAGGTCGCCGGTCCTCTCAAAGCAGACGGGGTCCAGCCCCGTCTCCAGGCAGCTCTTGATGCTGGCGAGCCCGCTGGCGCCCGCGCCGATCACCGCGATCCGCAGCCGGGCCATGGTGCCCGGGCTCCGCGCTCGGTCCCTGGAAGGAGCACGCGTGGGTGCGTGGACGCCGCTCCCGCGCCCCGACGGGAGGAGGAGGGTCCCCGCGGTTCCCTCCCCGGGGCCGCGCCGTCCCCTCCCCGGGGCCGCGCCGTCCCCTCCCCGGGTCCCCGCGGTTCCCTCCCCGGGCCCGAGGGGGCCGCGCGGTTCCCTCCCCGGGGCCGCGCACCTCGAGGCTCGGGGGCTCGGCCGAGGCACCGAGAGCCGGACCCCGCAGACCGCGGCCGCGGGCCCAGGAGGCGGCGCCCTCCGCTCCGCTTCCTGTTTCGGTCCGGGCCGAATCCACACCGGAGTCGGGAAATCGAGTCACGCAGTCAACGCCGCGCCTCCCTGCGGGGCGCCCGCAGCTCGCCGAGACCCTCCCGGAGTCCTGCCGGCTGCCTCGGTGCCCACCTCCCCGTGACTGCCTGTGCGTGTGCGTGTGTGTGAGTGTGTCACACACCCCAGCAAACCCGAGCACGGTCCCCCGAGCCTCCTCCCCCGGGAGCCGCCGCCCTGGAGTCCCGCTCCCCCTCCCTCCCCCTCCTCCCTCCCCCAGGCTCCTCCCTCCCTCCTCCTTCCCCCTCCTCCCTCTCTCCCTCCCTCCCTCCTTCTCCCCCTTCTCCCCCCCCCCCCCCAAAGCTGGTATCAAACCAGGATCCTTAGATCTCAGCCTCCTGAACAGTTAGGGTTACAAGCGTGAGCCACTGGCACTCAGCTAAACAGACTTTCTGTTTCATTTTAAGTCAGTTGTGGGGCTTGAACTCAGGGCCTGGAGCTGTCCCTGAGCCTTTTTGTGCTCAAAGCTAGCACTCTACCACTTTGAGCCACAGCACCACTTCCAGTTTTTTGGCAGTTCATTGGAGATAAGAGTCTCAGGGACTTTCCTACCAGGGCTGGCTTTGAACTGTGATCCTCAGATCTCAGCCTCCTCAGTAGCTAGGATGACAGGCATGAGCTGCCAGCCCCTGGCTAAAGATGGTATTTTTAAAAAAGGCTTTATCTCATATAGTCTTGTGAGAAGTTAAAGTGCATGATACCCTCTTCTACAGTGTAACATCACACGTTTGAATATAAAATTGAATAGAGCCTGCCAAAGTAATGGGTGCAGGATTTCATGTACCAGCTCTAAATGAGGGCAGCAGGCAGCTGACAGTGGTTCAGGCCACTCAGGAGGCCAAGATATGAGGATCCCAGTTTGAGGCCAGCCCAGGCAGGGAAGGCCATGAGACTTTTCTCCAATGAACCAACAGAAACCTGGAATTGTAGCTCAAGTGATAGAGTTCCAGATTTGAGTGAAAAAGTGAAGGGACAGTGAAAGTCCCAAGTTCAAGTCCCAGTAGTGGCATAAAAATAAAAATAAATAAATAAGCAATCCAGTTCTAGGATTGACCAACTCAACAGCTCCAGGGGTTTAAGTGATGGATTGTATACTTTTCTTTTGCCAGACAGATAATGAAAAATCAAGTCCTAGCAGTCAAGGTCATTCAGTGCTAACAAAGAACAAACCCTGTCCTACCAAACAAAAGCTTGATGCACAAACTTTGCTGTCCAGCTGCTCACTTTCTTTTATCCAAATTCTCAGAGATTTCTTTCATAATATTGCAGTATTGCACCAGTACTTTTAGCAAACTTTTGAATTGACCCGGTAAAAGTCCATTCAAGGTTTTATTGCTCTTCTTCATGTGTATTCTCTTGTTTATCTGGCCTTTTTTTTTCAGCTTTTTTTTTCTTTTCCTAGAACTTGAATTCAAGGCCTTGAGTGGCTTTTTCCACTCCAGGCTGGCACTCTACCACTGGAGCCACACTTCTACTTCCAGCATTTTTTTCTGGTCAAATGGAGATAAGATTCTCTTGAATTTGTCTGCCCCAGGTGACATTGAACCTCTATCTTCAGATCTCAGCCTCCCAATTTATCATGATTCTAGGGGTGAGCAGCAAGCACAGCACCTGGCTTTTGTCTTTGGGGGTTTAAAATGTATTATGTATTGTTTGATGGCCAAACATGTATAATTGCATCAATCAAAATATAGTTATTCCTTTTGGGGGGAGGGTAGAAGGAATACCCAAGGCTTTTTGACACCCCTTACTATAAGGCCCTGGGAAGGTGGGGCAGACTCTCCCTCCTGGGGCTAAATCTCCTCCCAGTACCTACAGTACCTAGTGCAGCATCTGATGTGGCCACACCCTTCTCCCACCTAGCCACACCTCCTCTTATCTGGCCACACCTCTCCCCCACCCCCAGATAAGACATAGCCCCGAGGGAAGCCGGTGCTCTTTTCCAACTCTGCAGAGTTCCAACTTGTCCTGAGGCCAGCACCCAGTTCGGGAATGAACTTTCCCCTAGACTGAATGTCGCAAAGTGCTCTCTGTCCTCAGCTGCCAAGTTAATTTACCTAACACTCACCACACGTGAAACGTGGGGGGCACTGACCTCATCCAAATGCAAGGTCACACACTCTGCAAGTCCACATGTCCTGGTGCGACAGTGAGCAGAAAACATGCGTTGGCTGACCTGTGCCGGTCACACTCGCTCCGCGTGGGGTCGCCAATGCTGCCCATCGCTGGCTCCAGCTGGCAACATGTCTGACCCTCTCCTGTGTCTGCTTCTAGAGGAGTTGACTTTTGCCAGTGGAGGAATAACACAGCGTTCATATCAACATCATGATGACATAAGCTGAGTAAAGAATGAATAAAGTTAAGGCTCCCCTTTATTTCTGCCATTGGACAGTGGTGACTCAACAGAATCTATTGAGCAGGTGTTTTCTTTTGGGTGCCAGTCCTGGGGCTTGTACTTAGGAACGTGTGGCTTTGGTTTTGTTTTGTTTTGCTGTCAAGAGGCTTGAACTCGGGCCTTGGACACTGCTCATTGCATGAAATTCTTCATTGTTCTAGGTACAGGTGTAACAGATGCTACCAGCCAGTGTTTAAGGATTGACTCCTACCCTATTATCCCAGGTGCACAAGGACATCAGGCAAACCTTCATGAATGCACAGATGTGTTTCACACAGGCAGGGCGATCCCACTGAAACCTGGCCAGCAGCAGCCCATTGGGGGCCTAGCGTGGAGGGAAGTCTGAGGCCAAGCTGTGAGACCAGGCAAGGGTTAAGAGGCTGGAAGGCTGAGAACTGGATCCTGAGAAGGTCACACCCTCAAGGCCAGACAGAGGCAGAGCTGTTTGACCATGAAAAGCATGAGACCTTCTATCAGGGAGTCAGTTATCACTGCACTTGCCCTATTCTCTGCCCACACCTGCAGTCACCCTCTACTGAACTCAAGTAACCTCTACCTTCTGGCTCAGACCTCATAACAGTCTAACTCCAACCCCACCTCCCTACACAGCCCCCACTCCCGTGGGCCATGGGGAGGTGGTTGTGCCTTGCTATACCTCAATAAACAGTCCTAGCCTGTTGAGAACTGAGTCCAGCCTTTTACCTTTCTCCTCCATTTTCCTAACAAAGGTGAACTTTTTATCTTTTTTTCCCTCAAAACAGCTTCCAGACAGAAGATACTAGCGAGCATGTGCCTACAGTAATGACATAGATGAGTTGAGATGCAGAGAGGCATTTATGTACTTGAACATTAGTTCCAAGATTACATCCCTCCATGATGACCCACTTACTAAAACCCTACCGGAGGGCACCCTATCTGGCTGTCCCAGGACTGCTCACCTGCTACCTCGCTTGGTCCAAGGTTGGGTGGTATTCAGGTTAGCACGTCATCTGATCCAGTCAGCACAGGGACAATCTCGGGCTGCCTGGTGGTTCCGTGGCAGGCTTCCATACTGGGCCCGGGAGTAATGTCCGAAGACAGAGTTCTAACCCTGCACCTAGTGTAGAGTGGTGTATTGGATTTCGTTTGCTCTGTTTTTATACTGCTAGTCATGGCCTGTCATCCAATCATTTTTTTTAAGGATTTAAAAAAATTATTTCTAATGGTTATTTTTCCTTTTATTATTATTATTTTTTCTTTGTCAGTCATGGGGCTTGAACTCTGGGCCTGGGCACTGTCCCTCAGCTCTTCAGCTCAAGGCTAGTGCTCTACCACTTGAGCCACCGCACCACTTCCGGTTTTCTGGTGGTTAATTGGAGGTAAGAGTTTCACGGACTTTCTTGCCCTGGCTGGCTTTGAACTGCGATGCTCAGATCTCAGCCTCCTGAGTAGCTAGGATTATAGGTGCAAGCCACCGGCACCTAGCTTTATTAATTTTTTTTTTTGTCGGACGTGGGGCTTGAACTCTGGGCCTGGGCACTGTCCCTCAGCTCTTCAGCTCAAGGCGAGTACTCTACCACTTGAGCTACAGTGCCACTTCCGGTTTTCTGGTGGTTTATTGGAGATAGGAGTCTCACAGTCTCTCCTGCCCGGGCTGGCTTTGAACTGCGATCCTCAGATCTCAGCCTCCTGAGTAGCTAGGATTACAGGCGTGAGCCACCAGCGCCTGGCTTTATTAATTATTTTATGTTTACTTGGTACCAAGGAATTGAATTAAGGCCTCATGCATGCTAGCCTTCTAGAGCTAAGCTAATTTCTTTGCCTTTGTCCAATCATTTTTAAGGTGTCTTCCAATGCTGATAAGTACCTTAGTGCTGGTGTATTTGCATATCTCAGTCTATATACAATCCTGGGTTCCTTGCCAGTTCTGCCTATCTAATGCTCCCAACACACACTGCACCCTCTCATCCAGCTTTTCATTACTTGAGATGGTTGGTGTGTTGCTGGATTTTCTGATTCGGGCAGGCAAAAGAAGGTAGGGATGCACTGTCAGTTCAATTCAAAGTCCTCTGCATACAGATTCACGAGTAGCAGCAGCGAGGAGCTTCCCAGAGCCCTGCTCCTAGGTCCCTGTTGTATCCAGGGCCAGCTCACCTCCACACCCTGACCTGCAGGAGTGCCTCTTTAGATGCTGTCTAGATCAAAGTGGCATCTGGACAACGATAGTTGCATAAGGCCAAGCAACAATCAATCCATTGTACCATTTTATGACCCTATGTGCATCAAGC